CCTCCCCCCGTACTTTCTCTGTCGCTTTATCTTCATACTCATTGTCTTTTTATTTCCATATCCATGGTATCCTTTTTCCTCACGTGATCTTGGCTTACAATGTGTCTTGCTCTGTATTTTTTCTGTTTACGTCTCTCTCTGCCTCTGCCACCCTGAATCTTTCTCTCTCACTTCCCTTTTCACCCTAATCTGCTTCTACCCTCTTACCTGTTCTCTCTCCTCACTTCTCTGCCACTGTGTCCTATGCCCTATACCTGTCTGCCCCTTCCTTTTCCCCATCCTTTTTGTGTCTCTCCACCTCTTTTACTCTGTCCCTATCTCTCTGTGTGTGTCCCTGTATCTCTCTCTCCAACCCTCTGCCTCTTCTTCTTACTGTCTCTCTCTCTATTTCTACCTTTCTCTGTCTCCTCACGTCACCCTGCCCATCTCACCCCACCACCCCTTGCCCTCTGTGTCTATGCCTCCCCTCCAGGATGATCCCAGCCTCCAACAAGGCATTCGTGGTCAACAACCTGGTGTCCGGGACTGGCTATGACTTGTGTGTGCTGGCCATGTGGGACGACACGGCCACGACGCTCACGGCCACCAACATCGTGGGCTGCGCCCAGTTCTTCACCAAGGCCGACTATCCGCAGTGCCAATCTATGCACAGCCAGATCCTGGGCGGCACCATGATCCTGGTCATTGGGGGCATCATCGTGGCTACGCTGCTGGTCTTCATCGTCATCCTCATGGTGCGTTACAAGGTCTGCAACCATGAAGCTCCCAGCAAGATGGCAGCCGCTGCCGTCAGCAACGTGTACTCTCAGACAAACGGGGCCCAGCCCCCTCCCGTGGGCAGTGCTCCTAGTGGGGCCCCCCAACAGGGGCCGCCCAAAGTGGTGGTGCGGAATGAGCTGGCCGAGTTCAGTGCTAGCCTGGCCCGGGGCAGTGACTCCTCTTCCTCCAGCTCCCTAGGCAGTGGGGACCCGGCGGGGCTGGGACGGGGCCCCTGGAGGCTCCCACCCCCTGCCACTCGCCCTAAGCCCAACATTGACCGCCTGATGGGGGCCTTTGCCTCCCTGGACCTCAAGAGTCAGAGAAAGGAGGAGCTGCTGGACTCCAGGACTCCAGCCGGAAACGGGTCCGGGACATCAGCCACGGGCCATCACTCGGACCGAGAGCCACTGCTGGGGCCGCCTGCAGCCCGGGCCAAGAGTCTGCTCCCCTTGCCCCTGGAGGGCAAGACCAAACGCAGTCACTCCTTTGACATGGGGGACTTTGCAGCTGCGGCAGCAGGAGGGGTCGCCCCTGGTGGTTACAGCCCTCCTCGGAGGGTCTCAAACATCTGGACAAAGCGTAGCCTCTCTGTCAATGGCATGCTCTTGCCCTTTGAGGAGAGTGACATGGTGGGGGCCCGGGGGACTTTTGGCAGCTCTGAGTGGGTGATGGAGAGCACTGTGTAGGCCTGGGGGGCGGGGGGGACATTCTCTCCCACTCTTGCAGGATGGAAGAAGGGGAAAGAATCTTTACTGGCAAGTCTTTGTGGAGTTTCCATGGTGATGTTTACATCCAGGGACAGCTTTGTCTCCCTGTCAAAAGCCTCTTCCCCCCCACAACCCACCCTCATCACCCTCCCTGGCCCATCCCCCACCACCCAGCTGGGGTGTGCTCAGGGAAAGTGGACTCGCTCAAATGTTGGACTAAACCCTGAGTGTTTGGGAAGGCAAGACACCTGCCTTTCTAATCACAAATGTAGCGTATAAGCAAGTGGCTTCGGATTGCTGATGGTTCCAGTGTTATTTTATTTCATAATTATTTTTTTTCCATTTCCCAGGCTCCTCTTCTTCATTCACACTGATAATCGAGAGTTTACATATGAAAGTACATTCCCAGCAGCCCTGGGTGTGGGTGATCACTGCCAGTTGACAGAAGGGGATGGTTCTGGTTCCACACTAGTTTGGGAAGACCCCTGCCCAGACCTCTTGTGATTCCCAACCACCCACATACCTGAAACCTGACCCAGTTTCCTTTGCTTCTCAAACATGCCCTATACCTCATCACATCAGCTTAAACCAGAAGGATAATGTCCAAGACTTCCTGTGTGAGGGAGGAGGAAGAAGGGCTTTAAGAAGCTATAGGGCATCAGGGATCTTAACTTCTGGAGTTGCTTTTGGAGTTTTGCCTCTTTTTCTGGGAAGCTGGGACAGAACGTCTCCATGGGCATGTGCTGGGCCAGGGAAAGCAGTGTGGGGTGACAGAAGGAGCTTGGACTTTGAGGTCAAAACTCTAAGGTTGGATTCCGAGCCACAACTCAATAACCAGCTGAATAACTTGGGCAAGACCCTTTTTGTTTCTTAACTTGCAAAACACTGAAGTTGTACTAGACGGTCTCCAATTCTAAAGCGCTAACTGACTCTTCATGATTCTAAATATTATGGTTTCCAGCTCAGCGGTACTAGTAGCACAACCTGGTAGAGCATTCCCTAGTCTTCTTACTGGACTCAACCCAACCCGTTGCCGTAGAGTTGATTCTGACTCAGAGCGACCCTGTAGGACAGAGCAAAACTGCCCCATAGGGTTTCCAAGGCTGTAATCTTTTACGGAAGCAGACTGCCACATCTTTCTCCCGCAGAGCAGCTGGTAAGTTCCAACCACTGACCTTTCAGTTAGCGGCGAGTGCTTAACCACTGCACCACCAGGGCTCTTTTCTTACTGGACACAGAGAGAGAATTCTAGAGGATTTGGAGGGAGAATGCTGAATTGTTTTATAATCTTAGAATTTTGAAGCTTGGGGAGATTTTTTCAATCACCTCATCCTTAATTCTCCCTCCTCGTCCCCTTATTTAAAGAGAGCATAAGGGACTTGCCCAACATCACACAGTGAGTTAATGATAAAGTCAGGGCAGTAGCCAAGGCCACCTACTTCCTAGGGGTGATGTTTGGGATCCATTTCCCTGTTTCCACCCCAGATAGGGCAGGTCTGTGTTATTCCTGAAAAGGTTAACTCAGGGTGGGACACAGGAATGTCTTTTCTTGGTTCCCTGAAGGTGGATTCTCATCCATGGAAATAGCAGGATGGGAGTTGTGGGGAAGGGTACGTGAGCTCGTTTCTATGTGAAGATTAACCCCCACATTCCCATAGTGGCCAGAGCAGGGGGCAAAATAGATACGTCCAGGTGCCGGGGAGAAACTGCTTTAAAGGAATCTGATGGACTTTGCCCCATGCATCTGTCTCTCCCAGTCTATCTGTTTTCTTCTCGGTCTCTCCTCATTGCCAAATGCACTACCTCTCCTTCAGGCTCCCCAACTCATTCTTCCTCAACCCTCCTCCATAGAGCTCTACCTTCTCTCTTGTTCTCCCTCCCTCTTCCACTTGCCAACCACACAGCAGGTACAAAGAACACAGGTGAGTCCATTTCAGGCTTAAGTACCCTGGTAGGCTCAGACTTGGAGCAGAGCCACTGGCCCCCAGGCCCCAGGAACACTCAAAGAGAGGGTCGGAGCAGTCTATGCAGGGTTGCCTTCTGGCTGTAGCTCAGGAGCCTCCAAATCCAATGCCTTCATCCCTCCTCACCCTCCTCCCTCCCACCTCCCCTCCCTGCTTCTTTTCTCTCCCCTTGCCTGTCTTCCACTATCCTGTCTTCATTTTTCTTCTCCTTCCTCTGATTCTCTGCCCTCCCCCTTCCCTTTCAGGTCCTGACAAGGTCTTTAACAGACCAGGCCAATCTCTGCCTGAAACCATAAGTGAATTTTCCAAGCCAGCTCAATGCCAGAACACATCCCTTCCCCTGTCATGGCGGCACCCACGGAACTGGGTGACTTGAAAGGAAATCTCTCCCACTTTCCCTCTGTTCCCTTCCTCCTTTCGCCTCTTCTGTTTTCTCTCTCTGCACCTTTCCCATTTATCTCTTCTAAATAGAGCCACTGAGGAAGCAGCTCCAGATACCCTTTCTTTTTTCCCTTTTGGGTTTAGACACCCCAAAGGGAAAGTGGTAGAAAGTGGAAGGGGAAGAACCAGCTCACTGTCTATACTTCTCAGCACCTCCAAGCACTGTCGTGACATGGAAAGGTAATTGCTTTTGTATTTGTCATGTTACTGACTTAGAGTTTTGGGAAACAACATCCCTGGATCAGAATATGAATGCCAATCTCCTCCTTTGCTAAAGAAAACAAAAAAGTACAGTAAAATGTTCAGTTTAATAAATAACAGCCAACCACATTTCTTGGGAGGGAGGAAAAAACAAAACACTCATGTCTGTGAATGTCAGCTGTTCATTTCTCCGGAAACTGAGGTTTTCTAAAGATGGCTTTGAAGTGGCATTTTCTCTTGTACCTGTGTTTGTCACTGGTGGGAGCCTGCGTTCTGCCAAGTGCATGCATAAGGTGAAGAAGCCTTCTGGAATAAGAGAGGATGGGGTTGTCCTCCTGGAGTAGAAATGGTAGAGGAATCTGTAGTGAAGCTCCAGTCTAAGAAGGGAATAGTCCATCCCTATCTGCCCTGGTGGTGTAGTGGTTAAGTTCTATGGCTGCTAACCAAAAGGTTAGCCGTTCAAATCCACCAGCTGCTCCTTGGAAACCGTATGGGGCAGTTCTCCTCTATCCTATAGGGTTGCTATGAGTCGGAATCAACTCGATGGCAAGAGGTTTGGTTTTTGTTTGTTTTTTTTTGGATCTGCCCTGAATGTCCCACCTGGCAGCTCGAGTCTCTGATCATCATCCCTGCCTGCTTTTCCCTGGACTGTGGCCACCACCACTCCTGGCCACTAGAGGTAC